AGTAGATCATAAACTTTAATTAATGCTGTGGCTATTACAGATGCTTTACCAAAACACATAAATTTAGAATACGCGTGAATACATAAAAAATATATAAATTGATGAGAAGTACTTACTGGATGCATCACTATCAAATGATTCATCAGTTGATACATCAGAAGCAGATGCATACACAATGTCATTGTTCTCTTCAAGTTCCAGCTTTAATTGCTCTATTTCTTGTGACCTAATCTCTGACCATTCCTTGAGTGATGCCAACTCTCTCTCAGTATCTGTTAGAAGTTGTGAAAGAGTAATAATTATGGTCAATGATATATATAAGCTTGTTTCTATGAATATAAATTTTGTCAAGATTGTGACATCCAGCCACTTAGAATTTAACTTTAATGTCATTACTGCATAATGGAAAATTTTGGAGGGACTAAAATTGCTAAATTTTGGTGATTGGCAAATTTTAATTTGGCAAATTTGTGGCTACATGCCATTGAGCATGCACAATGGCTCAAAACGGCGGATTTTAAGTTGGTAAATGGCTATCAAAATGCCAAATTTAATTCCTTTCAAAATTTTCTGCTATACAGTATACCTTCTAAAAATTGATTTAATTTATTTTCCTTTTGAAAATATTCTTCTTTTAGTGATGATATTTTCTCCTTTAATTCATTAATTGCTTCTTCCTTTTGAACTATAAGTAAGAAATGATAGTATAAATTGTACTGTACTTACCATTTATGCATTGGCTCTCTTCAAGACTTATTTTTAAAGCTTTCAATTGCTCCTTCAATTTTGATAACTCTGTTTCACTAGCTATCATGTGTATAGTACAGCAATAGTAAACTAAGAATCAGTATATACCCGTTATCTTTTCATCTCTGTCTTTTAGAGCAGTTTTCAAATTATGAATCTGTATCAACAAGTCCTTCACATCTCTATTCACACTCACTACCTGCATGCATAGTATGATAAAAAAGAAGTAATAGAAATAATTATAGGCAGGTCTACTAACCTCAGTAGCATTCCATATACTACATTTGCTGACTACAAATTCCTTTAATCCTTTCTTTTGCAGTATCTGTATCTTGTCAAGGACAGCCATTATCAGTGAGCCAGTGTACTCAGCAGGACAGTAGCAGGTTACTACAACTGATTGACCAGTCCCAATTTTATCCATCTGTATATGATATCTATTCAGAGGCTCTAACTCAAAAAACATAGCATTGATATCCTGAAGTGTATAGTCATCAGGATTCCAGTTGAACACAAATACAACAGTTTCAGATAAAAGACGAGATGGAGTAGCAACTGCTTGTAGCTCCTCACCAAGCGAAAGACTCACTGATACTGATTTGCAGAAATCCTTAGCTTCCTCTTTGAATGACTTAAGGACTGGTTTAGCATCTTCTATGTTAAATTCAAAAGCTAAATTCTCAAGGGGACGTACATTAAAGATACTACACTTTCTCTTCAGTACATTTAGCACTTCTTCAATTGTCCCCGTATAAGAAAGTTGAGGCTTTAAATCAGGAAACCAGATAATAATTAGTTCCTTCACTTCATCAATATTTAAGATACTTTTCATTTTTGTAAAAATACGTCGGACTTTAAAAAATGTAGAGCCAAACTTCATTCTCATATCTTCGAACTTATTCTTCATGTCTCGAGGAAAAAGGATTTTATGATCACCATGTGTATCATCATCAAGTGATGAACCTGTCAAATTCATGATAATCTATCCTAATTATATTAACTATTTGCTATACTTTCTGAACTAGTAGACATAGATTTTTGATTTGCAACATAAATTTCATCCTCTTCAATATTACCATAGTTGAAACGCTTTCCTAAATAAAAAGTAACTTCAAAAAAGTTTTAAACTCACTATATTCTTCAAAGACAGTATCCCCAATATGAGCAGTCTCGGAAAACTTTCTCAATACAGTAACAAACAACTCCAGATGTTTGTAATTGGAGCGAACAGCATCTCGTACAGCTTTAAGGAGAACTGCTCTACTGTCAGAGACAGAACCTCTGGTAGACATGACACAAGACAGAGCCTCATCAGATATAACCTCTTCATGAAGACACTTTGCCACTCGAACTGGTTCAGTAATTGACAAAGAGAGAGCACTGTAATTATTCCTCAATATATCACTAGCATGACCTTCATCGCTGCCAGCTACCTCCTGTTGTTGTTTTTTTACTACTGTACTATCATCATCTTGAGGAATTTTCTCTTCTATGATAATAATATTCATAAGCAGATAATTATATTACAATATTCAGTGCCTTACCATATTTGTTCAACATTCCAATGGCTATGAATCTTGTTTGTTCAATATCAGACAGTGCTATAGCAATATCTTTCAGTTTCCTATAATCACTAGATACTGTTTCTTGCATGGCAGTCAATAGAACGGTCTTCTTGTCATCCAGTGACCTCCTCTGATCCATCCTCTCCATTTCATCCAGAGTAGCTTCACTTATACATCTCTTACAGTATAACAGTTGAGACACTTGTACAGGAGAGACAAGAGCTTCATTTAATGATTGAATATTCCTTTGAAAAATAGAAACTGCCTCAGTAGATGGTGGCGTATCTAAAGAAACAATTAAGATGATTACATACACATTATTCTAGTCTCGCCCCGCCCCTTCGCTGGGTAGCGAAGGGGCGGGGTGAGACTAACATAATAACATCATAGATATTAACTCTAATATCTATGATAACATTATTCAAAATAAAAAGTGGAGGAGGGGAGAGAGAGCACATTTTAGCTTACAAGTAGTATCATGAAGCTCCTTTAAATATTTTTCATATTTATCAGCAACTGTATGCTCATTAACTACTCTCTTTCTCAATGCTTCCAGTACTTGTCCCCTACTAGCAGTAGGAGTAGTGGTGAGCCAGTGCTGAAACATCTTTAATGTCTTGCTTGTATCATCATGTCCTTGTAACTGCTCAATACCATTCAATCTCTTCTCATCAACGTGTAGCAGTGTACCCAAGAAGTACCACTTAGTACCAACATCAATGTGCTCTAGTAGCTCAGAGAGAATAGGAGTAGAAGACAAGAATGCGTCGAAAGACCTTTCTTTGTGTACGTGTTGAGCCATTGTTTTTTGCCGCTACTAAGCCACACCCTAGAGTTGAGTTTTATTAATATTTGTGGTAGGCGTAGATTATGTTACTGCATCCTCATTTTGCTCTCTCTTCTTTCCTTCAGATTTATTATCCTGCCATTAAGAAGCAACTGTTTAGAGTGCTGTTAATTTTTATGCAGTAAATCAGACGGCAATCTAGACCCAAATATGTTCTGCTTATGCTTCTACCTACCTCTCACCCATATACATGTATATGCACACACTAATCTAGCCCGGCACGCAAGGAGGAGATTGGATGATGATGCATGTACTATAGTCCAGGCACAGTTTTGATATTTCTTCCTGTTTAGTTTCCTATAGTACAAGATCAAGACATCCTCTAATAGATGAAACTTTTGAGTAAAGTGAGTACTAATTAACACTTGTTGCGGGAACGTGCACTTAAATACAGTCAACTAACTTAATGTTTATAACTGCATGAGTGCATGTGTACATGTACAAAAATAAAAACAATCTATTAAACATAAACTAGCTGAAACACATTGATCACCATTAATAATGTTCAATAGTTTTAAACGGTGTATTTTCTTAGTTATTCCCAGCTCTTCCTTCAGTATGCTTTCATCTAATTCAATCAGTATCTTACCATCAATTTGCTCCCTCTGAAATGTCTCAGCATATTGTTCCAGCCTCATCTTTACCAGTAAATCTGCTACCTGTGCATTTATATCGCAATATATTAAACAATGCTCCAATGTCTCTAACCTTTTTTATATCATAGCTAGCCAATGTACTTCTATTGAAGTCAAGAAAGGTTTTGGATCCTACAATAAAGATAATAGTACATAGCATTAGTATTATTATATTCTGTAACATACCGGGTTTTTCAGGGAGACCTTCAGGAGACTTAGTAGACATAGCAAT